GGAGACTACATGTCCTTTTTTATACTCAAGACTCCCTAAAACTCTTAAATACTTACATATTAACTCACACTTTAACCGCAACTGACCTCGAGCCAAGCCAAACTCCTGGTGAGACGAGCAGCTCCTGTTGGTGGATTTTCTTTGTTTTAAACTCGAGATGTTGCTCTGGCAGCTCTGCTCCTCTGAGGGAACGCGGAATGAAATCCCAAGGTGCTCCATTGCAGTGCACGCGTTAGTTCATGGCACTGAGCTGTTGTGATTGCAGCTCACAACCCAACACGGAAAAGGTGGATCGCTGAGGGTGCAATAGTGATGGTTTGGAGACCAGTACAAGATCGAGTGGTTTAAGGGACTTTGTGTATATTTAAAACAAAACAGGTCCAGAATAGTTTGAAGGAATGTGAAAACAGAAGCTTGATATCAAGGATTAGAGGAATAAAACCAGATGGATGATTAACTTGGTGTCTATTCTTAAGCCAGCATGACATTTTTATAACAGCTCGATGATTATTGTAGTTTTACTCAGATCAAAAACTCTTTCAACTCTTTAAAATTATTTAGCCAAATTGAAAATAGAAAAAGAACCAAATTGATTTTCTCTCTCGTGTGCAACACAAAGGATCTAACAAGCCACATAAAAAGGCTTATCCTACTTTCCCCTTCCTAATTCTGCAGCAGCAGTGAGACATGTTTGCTTTCATTGCTTCAGAGTTTGAACAAGATAACAGGCCCGGGGAAGTCCGACTGGGCTCGGCCGTCTCTACCGGGCATGACGGCTGATGTTGGTTTGGGGGTGGGGAGGTGGAGGGTAGATGGTGACATGTCAGTTTAATAGGGAGGCGAGCAGGAAAGTGCGTGAAAGGAACTCTGTTGACTTTTCTGCCAGGCCGATTTACACCCTACGTTCATGATGTCACCCTTATCTGGCCTGAAACTCTGAACTTCTGTCTAAAAATACTGTCCTCCGTTGCAGACCATTAAAACCTGCCTTACTGGGCAGACTGTCTTTGCCACAGGAGTGTTACGCAATTACAAAATAACAATAGCGTTGTTTCATAACGCCAATGTCGCTGTGACATGAGTAATTTTGGTCCAGTCTTGTCAAACTTTTTTTTTGTGGCCAAGCAGCAGGTGTGTGTATGTGTCTGTTTATGTGAGCATACACCTGTGTGTGTATACCCTCTGCCTCCAGAGAGACAGCAGGAGTAGGAGTGGCACAGGTACACTGGAAATTCTCGTTGGGTTTGAAGAGGGAGGACACGATAGGGGAGGAACCTTGAGAACAGCATGACAACGCAAACCTTATAAAAGACGGAGGCACACCCGGCTTATAGCTTCAGTTAAGCTCGCCTCTCAGACGGCAGCACCTTGCCGTAGTCATGCTCAGCCTCATCAAATTGCCACGAGTCTTCACCATGAATCAAGTGCCCAAAGTAAGTTTACCTTCACTCAATCTTTACAATTTTTTCGCTTTTTATACTGGATAAGTGCTAGAAATTCGAAAAAAGAAAAGATTTCAAAGACAAAAGTCAAAAATGCAAAATGTTGAAAAAGAAACAAACCGCTTTTATATTTGAGAAGTCCTAGTCATGCATTCTTTGTTAAACTCTCAGAAGAGGTGAAAACAAAATTGGTCTTCTCACATTTGGGCAGAGCACTAACTGCAAGTGTTTCTTCATTGAGGTTTTCCATGAGGACGGCATTATTACTGGGTACCGGCACCCCCGGAGCTCAGCCACCGACTGCATCCTGAGCCTCTTCCAGATGACCAATGAGACGCTCAATATCTGGACCCA